AGTAACAACGTCTACAAAAAATCACATTTCACTAAAACTCGCTCCTCTAACGCAAAACGCTCACAGCCTTTTGAATAGCTTATAGAGTTCATGGTCACAGCACAGGATGGAATATAATCCGTAAAGTTATTTTATGTAATCGTTTTGTACTACTCACTAAATACAAGAAACCTTTTAGAAGATTCTTTTATTTAACATATCTAGTTATCTAAACTACAAAAGCCCTCCGTCATCACGGAACTCCTTTCAGGGTTTTCTTTCACTTGAAAACTTATCAAGAACAACTTAACATACAAGAAGTATGCTATCTTTATTTCGTCTAAATGTCCCCGTTTCATCTGTATAGTTTTGGTTTCAAATATTTTTGGAACGAAGTTCCTTACGGCAGGCTTGGACCCCTCCAATTAAAATAAAATAGGGATTTTGCTGCGCGACCGAACTGAAAAAAATGTGATAGTAAAACCGTAAGAAAAAATCCGTGGAATAAAACCGTTAAATGAGACGTGCACAGGCGCGACAGTTGCATAATTTTATGTTGTCAAACAAAAATAAAGAGACATATTTTGTTATTTTAGTTGATAATTTGTATTACGATGTTTTTTTATTTTAAGTAATTTATTATTTCCTAAAATACTGAATTTCCTAAATACTTTCTTGTACTTAAATAAAAACTAATCAGCAAAATTTAAGAGAAAAATCAAGAAAACCTACATAAAATTGAGCACGATTTTTTTTGCAATTTGTGTCGATTCTACATTAGCCGAAGGAACTTCGTGCCTACCTGGTGTCCCACAACACCACATCATTTTTCTAATTTTGATTTACATGTCATGATAACACACATTCCTTCCTGTCTTGCAGTCATTCCCATTTGATTTGTTCATTGAATATCTTAATGCTGTCAAACTATTAAACATCAATAATTTTTAACTTTTTTTTTAGATGCGGCGGCATTATTATAGAAAAAATAGTTTTCGAGGATTTACCCAACATACAACAACAACCTAAACTAATATATAATAAAGAGTTTTGCCCGTATTTTCCTAGTGATCCATTTAGGGTAGGTGTATGTAACAGCTATATAACTATAGATGGGCCAAGCATTGCTTGAAATGCGAAAAAACAATGTACCAGTTAAACTTAGTGGTTAGCATCTGAATCCGGAAGACATGGGTTCGATTCCCAAAGTGGCGAAGAACTTTTTGTCCCTTTTTCTACAAAATTTTAATGTTTTATCGAAACACTATAAACACTATGAAAATTGCTTTCATATAGCTATGGTGACATTTCTCTTTTGAATTATCATTTTAAAACTATGTTTGGAATTGTTTGTATGCTGTAAAAGACATGAGAACAGATGCGCCAAGCATTGCTTGAAATGAGAAAAAACAATGAAGATAAAGTGGCGAAAAACTTTTCGTACCTTTTCCTAAAAAAAATAATTTTATATTAAGTGCAGACTATAAAAATTCATATCATTGAAAATTTTAACAGCGAATGTGACATCTCTAATTTCCAAATATTTATTTGTAAAATTTCATAATAAAAAAGTGGTCCTTTCCTGTAAAGGCATTGCTCAAAATACAATAAAAACGCATTAGATGAATACGTTGAGATTTTCTTCGGTGTGAAGATATGTCGTGCAGCAAATTTGCTAGAGCGTCGGGTGTTTGTATTAGATCAAAATAGATATGAATCCACGATTTTTTTTCTCATCTTTGAAATGTTATTTACAAAATATTATTAATTTTCAGTTACAAGTTGCTTTGATGGTACAAGTTCAAATAATCATTGAAAATATAATAATCATTCGAAATAGATATGAATCCACTGATTTTTTTTCTCATCTTTGAAATGTTATTTACAAAATATTATTAATTTTCAGTTACAAGATGCATTGATGATACACCTTCAAATAATCATTGAAAATACTCCTGAAAAAGTTATTCAAATAACTGAAATAACGCCTTTAAAAATTGAACATCGTGTTGGCATAACGGAAGTGGTAGATAATTTGCCGTTCGTAGATTTTCAGTTCAATACAATACTTATAAACGATGAATGTAACGTATCTCAAAAGGAGCATTCGCATGTTTTGCTTGGGAAAAATTTGCTCAAAGATGAGACGGTATGGATCGTTAATTATTAAGCAAGTATAAGTTAGATTATTAAATGAAACTTTAAAGCACAAGTTTTTTTTTGTAGATTTTAGCTACTATAGACACAGTTGGCAGTCACACAACTTTTATGCTTTCCTTTGAAGATGACTTTAATTTGTTGTGTCACTCAAAGTATGATATCATTTCAATAATTTCGATAGAAAATAAGTATAAACTAGTTTTGTTAAAAAAACTAAGTGACAACACGGATAACACAACGAAAATGATAATTTACGACCAAAATTTCTCTCACAGTAACTTTTATGAGAATAGTTACAACCGTAAAAGTGAAATTGCAATGCAATTGCATCAAAATAGTCACGAAAATGAAGGTTAGTTAATGAATTGCTAAATGTATATTCGTTGGCATGGTTTATATGAAACAAAAATATAATTAACTAAATTTTTTTTTCAGGCACAATAAATTCGAGGGGGCTTCTTTTTATAGAGGATGAGGACTCAACCGTATTCAATTACGATAACGAATTATGCAAAGAACAATTGCAGAAAAAACTAAAATATAATGTTATAAGAAAGGTTTTTTATTTCTATAATTCAAAAAATTTATTTCATAAGAACTTTAAGACAAAGTAAATGCAATTATAATATATTTTAAATTTTCTTAGACGCAGTGGGGAGGCTACTACTATTTACCCATCGTAGTAAAAACGTCTCCTAAAAATGTAAAACTCACTATTAAAGAAACCGGAAATTTAGATAGTTTTTCATGGATTGAACAATCTACCCCAAAATTTCAAACAACTAAGCTCATAAAGGTAGGACATCTTTATATTATTACGTGAATCAAAAAAATTGTACCACATACGAAAATTGGGTAGATGGAGGAGTACGAAATTTTCCACACTTATCACTATATACTAGTAGTATTATTTAACGGTGGTAGAGCCACGCAGCAGCCTCAGCTGTTGAGCTAATGGGCAGGTTTGTCCGGGTAAGTACTACGACCTCACAGAAGACCGGCGTAAAGTGGAAGTATAATACTTTCGCGTTTCGTCTGGTGAGTGAGGTGGCCGGAGCCCAATTTTCAAAAGGTTGTCCAAAGCATCTGCAACCCTCGGGTGAAGCAGATGTCTATGGGCGTCGGTATTCACTTAACATCAGGTGAACCGCCTGCTCGCTTGGCAACTTTTCACATAAAAAAAAGTATAAAACTGGATACAGATCCCTATGTATGCTTAAATCTTTAAAACTGCGCAATGGATTTGGATGCGGTTTTTTTACTAGATTGAGTGATTTGTGAGGAAGGATGTTTAATATATTTCACCTGTGCGAAGCCGGAGCGGGGCGCAAGTACTTTATATAGATAAAAAGTGCAGAATGATAATATTTTTTTAATTATGCATTAAATCAATATAGATAACATTACACACACTACCGTGTATTTGACACACACACGCATATATATTCTTTTTTATTGTGTGTTGTATTTGAGAATAAGTGAATATTGTTCAAACTTAATTTAAATTAATTATGGTCGAATTTAGACCACTCGGCGTCCATTCAGTACACACAGTAAGTTTAAATTCTCATATTAAATAACCGGAGATTAAATAATTGGTATTTTTCATCAGGTGGAATATGCTGGACTATCGCTAATGGATTATTACAAAGCAATTAAATTGGGAACTAATTGTATTGAAAAATTATTCGGTATGGATTTTAGTGGCATCGATTTAAAGTGAGTGTATTAAGGTAGATGCAATCTAATTATATATAACAAGTGAATTAATAACTCGTACATAGTCGACGACGTGTAAACCAACGTACCAAACATATTTTTGGCAGTTATTTTTGTGTATTTTTTAAATTTATCCACATCTGTAAGCTCTCCAGATGTAATAATTAAGTTCAGTTTTTTACGGTGATAGGACCACGCAACAGTGTTCGCTGTTGCATGAATGGGCAGGGCCGTCCAAATTAGTACCGCGACCTCACGGATGACCGGCGTAAAGTAGAAGTGTTGCACTTTTGCGTTTCGTCTGGTGAGTGAGGTAGCCGGGGCTGACATTATCAAGAGGTGGCAACGCATCTGCAACCCTACAGGTGTTGCAAATGTCTATCAATAATCAAAGGTTGGGGGTTATCACTTAACATCAGGTGAACCGCCAGCTCGTTTGCCACTTTCTCACATAAAAAAATAAATAAATAATAGCTTGCAAAATTACAGCAAACCTGCGGATTACGTCTTCACCTAATCCTGTGTTCAGTGCAGTTGTATCAGGAAATTCAAATAACCTCTTCGCTGTGCTCGATGATTACCATCGGCAGTTGTGCCTAATACTTGCTTAACGATGTTGATCAAAAAATTGAGATCATCTTTGAATCGATCTTGGATAAGTTGTTTCCTTGACTGTAATATCTCTCGTTGATCTTATCCTTTTGCAGACCACTTCTTAGAATCGAATAAGCTACGTGTAGAAGACATTCCATTATGTTATAGCAGGCATGTTACGATAACCCATACTCACATACCAGGGGAAACGATTTTTGATGTTTAACTTATTTATTTCACTGTTAAAGTGACACAAATGTCTTCGAAGAGTCGCACTGGCGCTTAGCCTTTTGTACTTTATAGTAAAATGGATATATTACATATATCCTTTCGAGCGCAAGTTATTAACGCGGAGAGGAAATAATCGCAGATAATGCTATTTTACTGTTCGAGAGTTACCGAAGACTCTTTAAAGGCAAAATCATAGATTTTAGCAGGTTCAGAGAACACAATTAGAATAATGAGAGCAGACACGCATCTAGGGAGATTACTCTTCATCACAGAAACAACATTAACAATATTTTACTTATTTTAGAGGTAACCGAGTCATGGGCCTCGTACCGGAGGGTTCCATTTCAAGTTATGTGGAAGCTGATTCAACGTTACTTTGGCCTGTCCCCAACCACTGGGGCTTAGAAGAGGCTGCGACTGTAATACTTCCATATGTTCATGCTTATTATTGCATAGTAAGTGCAAATCATATTTATGATGATGTCAATATTTTTTATATCGTATTATAATTATTTTATATACTATTTATATATATATATTTCAGTTCTTTCATAAATTTCCTGTGAAATATCGTACGATTTTCGTGAATGGCGGCGCAGGGGCACTTGGTATTGCTATCATTTCTATTTGTTTGTCGATAAATTGCAAAGTTTTCACTTTTGTGGGTGATATAAAAAAGAAACAATTTCTATTAAAATTATTTCCGCAGCTGAAGGGTGAGTAATGTTATTTTTTATACGCCTTAAATAGTTATATATAACTTATCTGAATCTAAATATATTTAAAAAATATTTTAGACGAAAATATAGGCTGCATCAACGCTGAAGCTTATCACCAAGTTGTATTAGAAAACACAGATAATAACCTTTGTGATATTGTCTTTAATTCTGCAAGCGGAGCTCTTCGTGAGGTTAGTACAATAGGTTCTTTCAAATTGAACACGCACAAATATTTCAAAGATTGGTCATATTTCCTTTATCATTGATAATTCACAATAACTTTGTGTTAATAAAAGATATTTGGGCCACTGTATATGGTAATATTCTTTTTATATACTTGTTCTTATAAATTTTGAAATAGATAATAAATTACCTTAATCCACACCAATTACGACGACTGAATTCTATGTACTATCAGTGGAAATGCTAAGTTATCGGAACTGCTTCTTACTAATCCAAGACAGAGCGCTGTGGTAGACGCTTACATACATAGACGCCGCGTCGTCTAATGGCGGGTGGTCAACTTAATATGATGTAAATGTGTGTGTAATTTTACGAACGTATTCATTTTTATGTAAAATGTTGACGTTTCATACGAACAAGAGTCTATGTGAATAAATATATTTTTGATTTTGATTTTGATTTTGCACTAGGTATTTATGAGCCGTGATAGCTCAGTGTCCGGACGCTCGCCTTTAGTTCAATATACTCGAGCAACCTGAGTTCGATCCCCGGTGTCGGCACCAATGAAGTTTTTAACTTTAAGTGCTGACTTATCACGTGCTCCGCGGTGAAGGAAAACATCGTGAGGAAACCTGCATATTTTCGAAATAATAACAAAAAAAAAATATATTTCGAAGATATGTGAAGTCCGCCAATACGCAGTGGGGCCGCGTGGTGGACTATGCCCTGATACCCTCTTTATAGAGCAGTGGGACATGTATAGGCTGTTACTTTACTTACTTTACTAGGTATTTATGCACAGGCTGTGCCGCTGATTTACTACGCTTCACTTTCGATATGTGTGGCGCGGAGTCCTGTTTTTTACTAGTCTATGTTAACATTTACATATTAAAACAAAAAAAATATATATTCAATTTTATCGCAATACTTTTATATAGGTATGCAACTTTTGTAAAGATTGTTTTATCTTTCAGACTTTTTTTAAATTTGTCGGTCAATGTGGAGTGTTTCTTGATGTCAACAAGCACGATGTTTTTATGAATTCTGATTACAATTTTGGTATGTTCTACTTAGAGAATGATCGTTATTATAAAGTTGTAAATATGTCAAGTATATTTGCACCGGAAAATTTAAGAGATCGAGAGGTAAATATAAAAAGAATTAAATACAATAACTGAAGATTCAATATATTTCATTATTTACAATGTTTCATATTGTAGTTTCTACATCAAATCCAAATTTCTAACTCTTTAAAAATAGTTCACTTTCTTCAGAAAAATCTTTAAGAATATTTTATACACCACTGTAATATATGTATACACCAATGTATACTGTTGTATATACATATAACTATTGTAGCATGGGAAAGGATACTAACGTCGATGATAACTTGTAATTTATACATAAAAGTCAAAGTTAATTTACTTTCTTCTTTCTCTTTCTTGCATTGCAAAGATAGTTACAAGTTCTGCCGTAAGTATGCTACCGACTAATAACATATTTGTTCTCAGTGAGACATTAGTTAAGGGAACAGCTGTAAATATCTGCATGCTGTATGTTAATTTTAATTTTTTATTTTGTCTTTTGTTCCCGTTTGTCTACGATATAGTAAATAAATAAATAAATAAATTTAGTTAATCGCCAACAATTCTCAATTCTAACATCATTTCCCGAACCAAAAAACATTTGATACTATTTGAATTAATGTTTGTAATGGTTTATAAGTCGGTCTTCCTATAGTTTTTTTGTAATGTTAAATGATGCTTAACTGGATTCCATGGGGAAACTGGTAATCTGTAATACAGGTGACAAATGACCTATGATAAACACCAGCTCCGCTCAATTACCCGATTAAATTTTTACTGAAGCTGTACCAACTATGATATTGTATCTTGTTGTCATTTATTGTGAGGAGAAAAAAAATACATTATTATTATTGGTGGGGATATTTATTTGTTTTCTCGTTTGGTTAGGTTTACAAATAAAAAAATATTATTACAATTATCATGTTACTTAAACGAGACTAACTTTTTTAAAGATTCTACAAAGACTTGTCGCTGATGGCATTGCGAAAGGTATGGTCAAACCGATTCCGAAAATCTTGTATTCACCAAACGAAATTTTAAAAGGATTAAAAATGTTATCGAGAAGACAAAACAGGGGCAGGATCATAATAAAAATGAATAAATTCAATGATGAACAAAATTTGCAACTCACTCCAAGGTAAGTTTAATAAATGCTATTACATTAGATAAGGATGCATTAAGGCTTTCTCGTTAAAATTTGTTATATTATCGGTTCTAATTACTTTACTTAACATAACGAAACAAACCGAACATTACAATACCTAACATATTTGAATAACAGCAAGGAGTGGAATGTTACTTATAAAACTGTAATGAGATAAATTTCCGAGATATTTATCTGAATATACATATTAATATTTCAAAGTCCAGTTAGTTTAATGTGCACGTTTAAAATATTTTTTGTTTCTAGATATACATTTGAAAATGAACTTATCATAATTTTTCAGAATAACATGCCGTTCTGAAACATCCCAAATAGTTATTTGTGACGATCCAGAAATAAGCATAAGTTTGATAGAATGGCTATTGAATCGGGGTTCTAGGAATATTATACTTTTTGGAAGCGATGAAGTAAATTCGGGTATTCTACGCTACAAATTACGGTAAGTGATAAGAGACTGTACAACTGTACCAATGGTCTTCACCCTTATATTAATTTAATTTTTGCTTTTTTTCAAACACCTTAAACTATAAAGGACGAACTTACTGCTATTTGTAAAAAATATAGTATGCGTACAAAGAACTTATAAAACTATTATATTTTTCTCAGATTTTGGAATAAACTGGATGTCACCGTAGAATTTATTGAATCACAAACTAAAACTGTGGAAAATTGCTCGAACGCTATGAATAAAGCTATTAAAATGGGGCCTGTTGAGGGTATATTTATCGATTTAACCTGCAAAAATGAAATTCTCTCAGAAACGAGAATAACTGAAGAGTTAATAAATAAATCTGTGTCGAAAATATGCCATTTCGATGTTTTATCCCGAAAAGTATGCAATAAACTAAGGTAATATGTAACTATGGTATATAATTCCTTCGAATCGTATATTTTGAGTGGTTTATCTGGTTGATTATGGGATGGTAAGTAGTTATTGTGTATTGTGTGAATTAAATTATTTTCACGTATTAAGTGAAATCATATTGTAGGGTCACTTTGTTCAGGTCTAGTTTAGTGAACAGGGGGTTGTTTTTTTGTTGACGTTCAATAAGAGCTTAAGCTAAGCCTTTACTGAATTAAGATTATTTGAGTTTGACTTTGACTTAATAATTATTATTACTAATTATTAGTACTTAAAATCAGGGGTTGAGTATGTTTATCACGTATTTTTCCGGTAGTATGGTTTGACCCTACATTATCTGGTGCAAGAAGACGTTACACGTGCAAGTAAGTCTTTGATGTATAAAAAGCTATTAAATAGTTGGGCCTTCGGTTCTCTCACTGGCACAAAAAGGCCTTCGAGGCCATGGTGCTGCTCTAGTCGAGCTATATCAATAGATCTGTTAGATAAACTGCAGCTCAATTAATAGTATCAGCAGGAAATGCACTTAATAGCATCTGCTGATGCTATTAAAGATGATATTATGAGATGTTAGAACTGCAGATTAAATGCTATTTAATCTGCAGTTATAACACAGTATAGAAATTATTCAAATAATTCGTTTTTATTTTATTATAATATTTATTTTTATTTCAGATACTTTGTAGTAATATGTAACGATTTGGATGATTTTAAGAACGACTTTATTTACTCGGTCTCTGAAAAAATATGCCAAGAAAGAATAGATAATGGCTTTCCAGCTTTGGCATATAAAACAAAAATTGATACAGTATGTCTTTTAAGTTTTACTCATAATTGATATTTTACATGACATTCTAGTTACTCCTATACTCTAACTGTGGTAGGGCAACGCAACATTATTCACTGTTACACGAATGGGCAGATCGGTCCGGGCAAGTACCACGATCTCATAGAAAACCGGCGTAAAGTAGAAGTGTTACAATACCGCGTTTCGTCTTCTTTTTTGATATATTAATTAATATCTGTTATAAAAGAATAATTCACTTTCATTCAATGCATAAATTTATTTTTCAGAAACATTCATTAGGTAACAATTCAGTTACATCCTTGAGCATCAGTGCGGCATTGAATGGGCTAGAACTGGGTATAGAATACGGTTACACCAAAGTTTTAGCAATTAACAAAAAAGAAAAAAGGCGGGACAAGAAATCCCAAGTCTTAAATAAAGTCACGGACATTCTAGGTGAATGAGAATATTAAGTTTTATTTTAATGCGATAAATATAAGTATTAGATTTGAGCCGTGATAGCTCAGTGTCCGGGCGCTCGCCTTAATTCAATGTATACTCGAGCAACCTGAGTTCGATCCCCGGTGTCGGCACCAATGAAGTTTTTAACTTTAAGTGCTGAATTATCACGTGCTCCGCGGGTGAAGGAAAACATCGTGAGGGAACCTGCATATTTTCGGAATAATAACAAAAAAAAAATGTATTTCGAAAATATGTGAAGTCCGCCAATCGGCAGTGGGGCCGCGTGGTGGACTATGCCCTGATACCCTCTGTATAGAGGAGGCCTTTGCCTAGCAGTGGGACATGTATAGGCTGTTACTTTACTTTTTTTAGATTTGGCAAAATATAATTTGACAGACATGAAAATGTAATTTTATAGATCCATATTATGACCTAATAACACATTTTGTCATTCCTATTTTGTGACAACCGCTACATCTTATATTAAATTTAATTTATATTCTAACTATAAATATTTATTATTTCTAGGATTTTATTCAATAGTATACTTGGACAGAAAAACATTTTTGTGGGTTTGCAGACTGTAGAGGATTCAATATAATTTATTATAGCCGTGATAGTTTGTTGTCCGGGCGTTTGCTTTTAATATACTATTATATGAATTCAATTGTTGATTTTAAATGCTGATTTATCATGTGCTCAGCGATGAAGAAACACATCGTGAGGAAACCTGCACATTGTCGAAATAATCATTAAAAAATATTTCTAAAAATAAGTGAAGTCCACCAATCCACTTGGGATTGCGAGGTGGACTATGTCCTAAAACTCTTTGTACCAAACATACATTTGCCCAGCTGTGGGACATTTACATGCTGTTACTTTATTTTTTACTTATTTGTCTTAGACTTTGGCTATATTAAAATAATCACTTTTTTAAACTATATCGGACACTAGTAAAGTACTTTTTTTTCAAATTTACAGGTGTAAAAGATTTAGATCAAATCGATGGAAAAGTTGCTTTGGGCGAAATAATTACCAACATAAATATTTTAGAAGAGATTAGAACACTCGTCAAGAATGAATTTCGATTAAACCATACACTACAATGCTTAGAAAAAATTTCGTTAGAAAGGTATAAAAACAGTATATTTATTTATATTTGTTTCACATCATTTTTAATTTAAAGGGAAGATAAATTATTTAAAACCAAATTTTAAGTGTTTTCCTAATTTCAGTTTGAAAAACACAATACGTAATGCTCGTAACATTACAAAGCAAAAATTTGGAGACGGCATCGCAGCCTTCATCTCAACCATTGAAGATGAAATCGACGTAACCACTACTGATTACTTTCGGACAATGCCAACATTAATGTCTCGTAACTTGGAGGTATCGTATAGTTGAATAAATTTTATAACAAGAGTAACGAGATAAAAGTAATTTAAATTTTATTGTGCTAATTTTTGCACTTAAGAATCAGCGTTAAAATTTGTAGAACAATCAGCCGTTTAGCATAGAAGCTAAAGCGTCAAGCCGCGAATGCCGAAGACGTGGGTTCGATTCCCACAGCGGCGATAATCTTTTCTTACTTTTTTTACAAATTTTAATGAGATAAATGTAATGTTTTTAAATTCAGTATAACTTTTTTTATTCAAAGTTTTTGCAGTTCGAATTATCGAAAGATCGATTAATTTTTTGGCCTTCTTTAGTTTTCATAATCTTGTTGTAGTGATACTTTATTAAATCAATCGTAATATTTTATTAAGTCAATTGTAATGGTTTCGTAATAACAATTGTGTATATGCCAATTCAAAGTTCACAAATATATGCCTAATCAAAAATTGCAATATACAGGAAACTCTAAATTTTGAATCGGATGATGAATATTTAATATTGCTACCGGGATTAGATGGCAATCACCGAATATTTACGTCTTTATGCAAACGTTTGCAAATAAATGCTATCGCAATTGAGTATGAAACAATAGTTGACGATGGCTCCTTTAAACAGATGGCAGCCAATGTATTGAAGGTACTAATACTAAGGAAATTAAATTGATCGTATGTTTCGTGTTAAACATGCAATATTTTTTTTTAAATAACTTTCTTTTCAACAGAACTTAAAAAAGAGACTGAACATCAAAAACAAGTTTTATATTTTGGGTTACTCATTTGGCATAAACATAGCGATGGAATTAGTTGCTTTGTTAGAATATGAAGGTAAATATTCAAATAAATTATTTCTAGCTGTAAAATGATTGATGATCAATGATGATTTGTTGACCCGAATGGCGTAGTCGGTAGCCTTCTGCGCCAGAGGGTGTGGGTTAGATCCCCACTACTGGAAAAACATTGTGTGATGAGCATAGTGTTTTTCTAGTATCTGGGTGTTTATATATTTATAACGTGTATTTATTTACAAAAGAAAAGTATATTTAAGTATTTCTATCCGTTTTCTAGTACCCATAGTACATTGCTTAATTTGGGACTAGAGAACGATGTGTAAAAAGATGAAGAAAAAGAAATGATCAAAATCAACAGTAAATAAATTAGCCTATTTAAAAAAGGTGACCAACTATTTTTTGTTCAAAAAGAGTACACTTCCCAAGTACTTATTAGGTGAAAAAAAAGAAGAAAAAACGATAAAAACTTTATTCACTTTTACAAACACGTTTTTCTTCGGACTGGATTTTTTTTGCTAAATGAGGAATTACGGTGGTAGGGCCACGCAGCACCCTCGGCTGTTTCACGAATGGACAGGCTCGTCCTGGTAAGTACCACAACCTCACAGAAGACAAGCGTAAAGTGGAAGTATGACAAATACTTTCGCGTTTCGTCTGGTGAGTGAGGTAGCCGGAGCCCAATTTTCAAAAGGTTGTCAACACATCTGTAACCCTCGGGTGTAACAGATGTCCATGGGCGGCGGTACTCACTTAACATCAGATGACCCGTCTGCTCGTTTGGCAACTTTTCGCATAAAAAAAAACAGTAAAAAATAATAAAATACCACCGTAATAAGACACCGTATAAATCACAATCGAGAATTTTCGTAGAGGGACTTGTTGGGCGTCTCATTGAAACTATCAAGCTGAATCTTCGTGAAGCTATTCGAAGACTCAGCTTGATAGTAATTATTTTTAAATTCAAGTATTAACACTACAATCTTTGATCGTAGGACTAGGACGTTGTACCACGCAATTTTTAGGATAATGTGGGTGTTAAATTATATAAATATTAACTAACCAATAGAAGAATAGCTCTTTAGTAATTTACTTTTCATGACCTTGTTAATTATACATGTTGGAGAGGGGGAACCTTTGATAAGACTTTGAATTTTGTAGGACAAATATTTTTTCGGTTTATTTATATAATTATCTTGGGAATAAAAAAAGAAAAATTCAGTTACTAATCAAGTTTTGAAATTTGTCCAATTAACATATTTCACCTCTGCTAACCCTGTTAGCTACCGTTTACCAAAACTGTTGCAAGGAAAAAGTTCGGCGTCTCGAAATGAAACTACTCACAGAAAATCTGGTTGTTAGTAATAAAAGGTGAAAATGGGCTTAGGACCCTGGACTATAGGTCACGCTGACAAGCAAAGTTCTTAACTTCCTTCTTCTGTGTTTCCAAACTTTCTGTGGCTATGTCTAATCTCTCTCCTCCTTTCTTTTATATTCTGCTTACAAAAATAAAGCAGCATAATAATTTGTCGTCGCTTGATTTATGACTGCGAACGAAGAACATTACGAAGACCCCCTAGACGTCTTCAAATGTTACATTTAATAAAAATAAATTTTATTTAAATTGATGATAAATCGCTATTATATTACAGGTCATTCGGGTATCTTATATGCACTAGACAGTAGCCCAGATCCATTAAAAATACAATTCGATGCTTACGTAGGCAAACAAAGTGTGCCAGGTTTACAAAATATTATATTGGAACAAGTGTATTATATGCTGACATCAGATGACGACAAAATACTGAAAGAAAAACTTATACACATTAATATTTGGGAAGATAAAGTTAATTATTTTATTTCGAGGGCTAAAGTTTCTGTTAAATACTCTCACGAGTACATGCGAGGGCTATTGGACAATATTTTCAATAGAATTATGTTGTTTAGAGAATACCAACCTAATTTGAATTTAAACTCTCAAATAGTTCTTATTAAAGGCGCGAGTCATCCAAAATCAAAGGAACTTCAAGTCGATTATGGTTTATCTAAATATTCAAAACATCCTGTGAAAATATTTCATATTGAATCAGACCACGCTATGGCACCCCATGATTTAAAAGTTTCGAGTATAGTTAATCAACATTTATATCCAGAAATTATTGAAAAATATAACAAATCGAACCTCTGTGAAATCTACCTCTCATGATGTAAATGATTATTTTATTAATTTTTGTTTGGGATTGCAAGGGTTTTTTTTGAGAAAATTTAGTTTTGTACAAGTATTGATTGGTGATTAAAACAATTTTCCCCATTTGTTTTGTTTCATTTCTATGTTATTATAGTAATAACAATTATTATGGTGCTAATCATAAATAAACATAACCTACGAAAGTTTCAAAATCTAGGAAAAGTTTTACGTTACTACGACATAGCCATGGCGACATATCTCGTTTGCATTATCGTTCTGAAATGATATTTGAAATTATTTGTGAGCAGTAAAGACAAAACAATTTACACACCAAGCGTTGTTTGAAATGTGAAAAAACATTGTAAATAAAATGTAGCTTAATGGTTAAAGCGCTTGGTCGCGAATATGGAAGACGAAGGTTCGATTCCCGCACAGCGACGTCAAACTTTTCGTTCTTATTCCTATAAATTTTAATTTTTGTATATGTAAGAGTTTTATTTACTATTTTTATAATAAAATTTACTGCCAAAGAGACGCATTGTGAATAACGTCCTCGAAATTTCATACTGGACGATTTTTTAATTGGATCAAATGATTGTACACCGCTTCTTGTGTTTGCTATAATCTCATTGTTTTACTATTCCATCTAAATATAAATCATCAGCTCTGTGACCGTGACCATGTTTCAGTCACAGCGGATAGGGAGAAAGTATATCGCAATACTGATTCTGAAAACTGCGTCAGCGGTGTGGCCAAAGATTTTATACAAAAATTAAATATAAAAATACAATTTTTTGTGTTGCGTAGTAAGTCTCATATGTAAGGTGCTGTAAATCTTCTTATGACACATTATTTCGTTGATAATCCATACTTCCATACTAATATTAGAAAGGCGAAACTGTCTGTCTGTCTCGCTTTCACTCCAAACATACTGAACCGATTTAAATGAAATTTGGTAAACAGATAGTCTTGAGCCTGAAAGGACATAGGCTATTTTTTAAATTGGAAAAAAGTGTTGAAAGTTATTTGTTTAAGATATTCAACGCGAGCGAAGCCGCGGGCGAAAAAGTGTATATGTATCCAAATAAAAGCATGTTTTTTTGATTTTTAGGCTTCCGTACCTGCAAAGGTAAAAAAGGAACCCTTATAAGATCACTCTCTTGTGACCATCTGTCTGTGTGTTACTACCGATTTTCTCAGGAACGGATGGATCTATCAAGTTCAAATTTATACCAGATGCTGAAGTCTATAGTTCCGATTAAGTGTATAAAATTAACGTTCTGAAAAAATAAAAATATAATAAAAAGATAATTTATGGGAAACTTTTTTTTTTTATTTAAAAACCTTGCTTTTAAACAAAATTGACATTTCTAGGTCAATCGGAATACCCTATAGGTTTTGGGTCGAAAACCTATGTTGTAGTTCCTGTTGACCACGAAACAAGGCCTTACTGTAAGACCTTGCTTTTTCTCTTTTGTAAGTAAAAAATCCAACAAATTTAAAAAAAAAGTTGAAAGTGGCGGTATAACGAGTTCGACTCGCACTTGACCATTATTTTTTTCACATTTATATACATTTCTGAATCATGTAACAATCATGCGTCTTAAAATTTCTCCATAGAAATAAAAATAAAATAATTGTATTAGATATGAGAGAAACGATAATTTCCCTTTTTTACCAGACATAAAAGCAGCACGCGGCCGGAGTCGTGGGAATTCAACGCAATATAACTCATAACTGACCACGGCTTACTGCTCTAAATCATACTGAATCCGAGGCAGCGCTGAAATCCCTCCATATTGCAAAATATGGGTAGGGGAATTGTCTCCTAACACTACTACTCCGAGGTGGCATTTGTGAGAAAGTTATAATCGAGTACGATTTAAGAGCTTTGGATCTACATTCGATATTGCGTTATTTAGCGCATGATCATATTATAGACCAGGGCTGAAGCCTTTAAAAAATGGTAAAAAGTGTAAAAATAATAATGCTAAGAACCCTCGAAAAACCTATTGGAAAAGGAAGAGAATGTAC